GATTGGCACAGGACAGAGCAGAGTTTAGGGCTGTTGTACATAGGGTCGCTAAGAGTCGCAAGCGACTCGACGGCACATAACTAACAACAACAGGCCACCAGAGATCTTTACAGTACTTTTAGTCAATAAAATTATGGGTTGCTCTGACTTGCAGAGCATCAAGAATGAAAGAAAACATGTTCAAAATGATACTCTGCAGAAAAACTTAGTGGAGGAAAATGTGTAGATGACGCAGAGAGACCTACAAGTGTAAGTTCAAGCGTATTTTTTCAGCTTTCTGAGGGACCCCCTAGACTCCAGGGTCCTTCGTCAACACTGGCAAGCAGGCCTGGGAGTGTGGGAGCTTCAGGTTAGCTGCCCCAGAGGCGGCCACCAACAAGGCTACCGAGGCGTTGTTCTCGACGAGATGGCCTGGCCCCATTCACCTGAGGCCTCAAACCAGTAGATCTGGCTCGGCCCGGCGCCGCCCTGCTGAACCACACTGCACAGTAGCGGACTTATGCACAGAAGGGTGTGAGCGCCGGGATGTGCAGGCTCGGTCCTGCCTGGCTCGCCTTGCCCGGCCGGCTGCTGTCCTCGGGGCTATGCGCTATGCCACCTCGGCCAGTTCTCGCGCTGTCTGGGTTCTTCCGACCCAACTGGCTACATAGCACAACACTAACCCAGGCCAACAAGAGCTTCGTTCGTGCAGCCCGGCAGGCAGGCAGGCAAGTGGCTCCTCCAGAGAGGAGGGGCTCCCCACGTCACGTGACAGCCTGCTCCCCGCCTCCACCCCCCAATCCGGGTCCGGGCGTGGTCACGTGGGTGGCGTGGCGACTGCGTCAGTCACTGTCCGGGCTGCGGGAGTCGATCCACCGCCGTCAGCGGACGGGGCGGGGATCCTGGTGCCAGGTCCTCGCCTACTCGCCCCCCGCCGCCTCCGTCTGCTGTACTGACTCGGCCCGACTGTCATGGATCGGGGCGGGATCTCCGTCTGTTCCCTCTGAGGCGCATCGCCTCCCCCTCCACCGCCGCCTCCGCTTTCTGAAGCCTCCTCAACCCCCGCCGCCAACCGGAGCCCTTCGCCTCTGGCAGCCCGCCGCCGCCCCCCGGCAGGCTCGAATGCGCGTCTAGTGAAGGTGCAGGCCCGGCGCCGCCGCTGCCGCAGCCGGGAAATGGTTCGGGCCTAGCGGAGCCGGGACTGGAGGTGAGACGGACCGACGGACCGACAGCCAGGCCCGGCTGCGGGGCGGGGAGGGGGGGGCTGAAGGTTTGGGGGGGAGGGGACGTCGCTGGGTTCTCGTGAAGACCCTCCCGCCCCAAGGCTGCCTAATCCGATTTCGCCTTTCCGCCTTCCACCTCTGCGTCAAAAAAAAAAAAAAAGAAAAGAAAAGAAAAGAAAAGAATAAAGAAAAAAAGGAAAGAAAGGCTAAACCCCAACCCTAACTGGAATCCCGTAAACCCATTTTCTCAGCATTTCTCTTTCCTTCTATAATCCATGCCCACTCTCCGAAACTCGATCGGCTCATTTGTCCCTCCGAAATTTTTATTCTCAATTTCAAGTTATTTCTAGTTAAAGAGAAAAATAGGCCCCGATTCTGGCTATCATTGCCGAACTAGTTCTCGCTTTCCTCTCGCGATCCTGCGCACCTCCCACCACCCCTCCCCTCCTTTGCAAAAAAAAAAGAAAAAAAAAATTTCCGCCTTCGACTTGCGAAGAGGGTTGACTAAAAATGGGAACGGGCTTGTAATACTTGACTACCCCCCAACAAGTTCTGGATCAGTCAGTTAGCTAGCTAGTTATCCGATAGCTTGTATTTGGATATTGGTGTGTAGGCCTTTCCACCAGCTGCCTGGACTCGGGGTTAATCTCGTAATTGACGTCAGTGCTTTGTTCCTTCCACTTTGCTGTTCCTTCCACTCTTTGAGGATGGATCCTGGGGTGTAGGAGTTTGTGGAGTAGCTTTTTTGCCGTCTAATCCACAAACAACATCTTTTGTAGGGACTTGAAAGTGCAAATGTGAAATGCTTGTGTGTGGAGTTCCTACTGAGACGAAGAGTTCCATGTAGGGTGCCCATAGTTTTGTCAGTAGCAGTTGGGAAGGGTGATTTCTTCCTGACTGACCATATGGAGATTTTAAACCAAGGCCCTTTTCGGTGACTAGGATTTTTTTCTTGACAGAAATCTTAAGCCTTAGGTGCTGGTGAATAGACGGTTTGTAAACGTGCCATTTACAATGTGTGCGGGTTTTAAGGACAGAGATGTTACAAGCTTAAAGCTTTGTTTTCATATGAATTCTTCAAAGCTTTGTAAAGTGATTTGTGTACTTAAACCACCCTTTAATATATCAAAATGGATATATTTATGAGAACTTTTCTTTTCGGGCTTTGATAAAGAGTCTTTGTGGCTTCTGAGTCTGCCTGGAATCATCTTTGGTCATAAATGTGTAAAAGTGTTGGCAGGTGGCCACTTGGTTTTCAACAAAGACGTTGTCTTTTAAGTTTCTCTGGCTTATTTTCCTTATTTATTACGACTCGATGGCACATAACAACAAACAACAACTTCTAGGCTTTGTACATTAAAAAAAAATGCAAGGAGTGAGTTCTTATTATCTATTGATACTAGCTTATTAAAAATCTAGAATTACTCAAATGAGTGAGGACACAAGGTGGGCTAGGTGTGATTGACCAAAACTGGACTGTTTGTTTAAATAAATAAAGCTTAGCTGTGCTACTTGGAAAGTGATCTACAGTTTTGGGGTATAAAGGTGCCTCTGTAGTGCAGTTTTGAAGCTATATAATTAAGGGTCCTTATAGGTAGAATGCTTTCTTTTAGATTCACTTTCTACTTGTCAGATGGCATACATTCTCTTTTTGGAGATCTTGAATTATAGTACCACTTTGTAGTAGTTACTACTTTCTGCTTTGCTTGGTCATTTTTTTAGTCTGTTGTGTTTAGGTATTTAGAGCAACAGCATTAATTAGCCCTCTCTGTGTTCTTCCCAGTATTCTGTACATTGATTGGGCTGAATTTAAATGTGATAATATTTTGAATTTAAATATCATGTTTAAAAAGCTGTCTAAAATTTCACAGGTTATTTAAAGACAGCTGCAAAATCAGTATTTAAAGGAGAAAGAAAATATCAGTTACAAAACTTGGCAGAAAATAAGCCTAAAAGTATATTTATACACACACACACACACACACAC